GCCCCCCTTTCAGTTTGCCCCCCCCCCCCCCCCAAAAATCCATAACCTAGCAGCCTTATTTAGTGTCAAGGAGATCATTCTGCCTTCCTGTTCCCAAACTGTGCTTGGCTTCTCCAACTGCCTTTGTAGGATGGCTGCTGGCAGCTGTGATCCCATCACTGGTTCAGGGTGCTCATCTCCAGCAGGGTTTTGTTGGATTATTGACCCCTGTGTGTTGCACTGATCATTATTTTCTTCCTTCGTTAAAGGAGCTTAAGAAATGGGGAGAAAAGGGTTTTAGGGAGTTGTTTAATCCATCTGCTTCTCAGTATTAGAGTGGAGAGGGCAAGTTGCTCTGTGGCTCCATGGGAAGCGATTGGTTTTGGTTCAGCCTGAAGACGACTTGATCAAAGTGGGATGTTGGTTTTTTTTTCTTCCAGATGTGATATTTTGGGAGTCCCCATTGCTTCCCACAGCTCTGTGTCATCACCCAGGAATTTTCAAATTCCCTGGAGTGTTTAACACCAATTTCTCTGCTCTGACCCTTCAGCTGTGTAGGCTGAGTGTTTCTCATGGAGTTTCCAATTTGTGTTCCCCAAGGAACGTGTTTATTGGGGAGCACTGTGAATGAGGAAAAGCTACCACAAATGAAGGTGGGAGATTATTCCCACTTGCCTGTGCTCTCATTGCTCTTTCTGGGCTAAAATACACCCAAATTTAATAATGTGTGTCCCACCACCATCAGCCCATAAAGGGAAGTGGTGGCTCCTGCCTCCTCTTTTCACCTCAGGAGTACAAAGAGGGCTGGGGGCAGGAGGAGGCAGCAGCACATCCTTTCCCACCACACTTTTGGGAGGAAGAGTGAGCTCACCAGGTCGTGACGTTGGAACTGCATGCCAGGAAAAGGGGGGAAAAAATAATTACAAATCCCCAAGGCCAAAGGGGAAAAATTCCTCAAGTGTTATTTCATCTGCAGGCAGTGAATTGAGCTGTCCTTGGGCAGCTCGTGTGAGCCTTTCCGAGAGAGGCGCTGCCAGCTCTGCTTCAAACCCTCCTGGGAAGTGATTCCCAACTCTCATTCCTGATGGGAGCTCAAGCAGGGCTCTCCTCCAAACTCTGCTTCCCCCTCCTCCAGACTGTATTAAATCGTGCTATTGATTTTATTTTTTCTTCTATTTATTTTTGCCTGTTTTCCTGGAACTTGCAAAATCAGCCCTGAGCAAACCTCTGGTTTGCTTTTCCAACAGCGCTGGGAGAAAGAACTTGACTTTACAGTGGGTGATGGGAGCTGCAGCTGACCCATTTCTGCACGTTTCTCTGCCAGTGGTAGCAAAAATATTTTCCCACTTAAAGGTTCTCTTCAGTTTTAAAGTTCTGGGATTAATTGTTTCTTCAACTGCCTGGAATCAGGAGGACTTGCTGGAAATTGCAGCAGTACAGTCGTGCTGCCGGATGTTGCTTTCCTTAGACTTTCCTATTTTTTTCCAATTGCTTTGTCGTGTTGTCACATCACTTTCTGTGTCCCCTGCCCAGAGGCAATGGAGAGGGTTAAGGTTTTGTGTTTGGTGTCAGCCAGCTGGGGAACACAGCCAGGAAATTTCCTGATTCCAGTTCAAAAAAAGCATCGGATCTGCTCTCAGGGAGGAGGGATCAAAGGTCCGAAGCCCTTTGTGCTTGGAGGTCAGTTTGGTTCCTTGGATGTCCAGGCACACAGCAAAAACCCACCAGCACCCCCGAGCCTGCAGGCAGCCAAAATGGGTGAAACAAATGGGTTTTTGTAATGTTTGACACCCAGAAGTTCTTTCTGTTGCTGTGATGGTGCTGCATCACCACAGCCAAGCTTTGCTGGATCCTGGTACAACTCTGCCTGTGGTGTGAGGGACCTGTTGGGATGTTCCCTCTTCTCTAATCAATAACCCTGCCAAGCCTTGCACCATCCCTCATGCTCCTCCATTCCCTGCCAGGTTTGTGGAGTGAAGGCTCTGGGCCAGGTTGGATGCTTGGAGCTGGCATTGGATGTGGCATCCCCATGGTAGCATCGTAGCCCTTTGAAATTGCATCATGCCAAGAGGTTTTGTTTTCCCCTCATGCTCAGCCCTGTTGTTCCTTGGTTTTGGACAGCAAAGGCCAGCACTCCTGGCTGGAGCAGCACTGAGTTTTCCAAACCCTGCTCCATGGTGCATCTGTGTGGCATCTCTGGGGTGACGGTGGTGCTGGTTTGGGGCTGGCTCTGCAGCTGCCTGTGATTTTCCCATCGCCACGCTGTGGATCCTGGCGCTGGACCGGCTCCAGAGACAGAGCTGAAGGAAATTCCTTCCAGCTGCTTGAGGTCAGGGCTTTGCTTTGCTTTTGGGGTCCACAAGGGGGATTTTTTGCCTGCAAGTTAAACGAGGGCGTCTCTGGCTTCTGCTTCTTAACACCTGGAAGAATCTTTTTCTTTTAAATATTATCCCGTTGGTCGTAGCCATTAAATAACCTTCCTCTTGTAGAATCATTCCATGGAAGAATACCCTGCTTTGCAACACAGCTTGGGCTGTTTCAGAAAGGTCTTGTCAGCTGCTCCCAGTTTAACTTTCAACCAGTTAATAACGCTTTTGGTTAAACCTGTCTGAAACACGTTGCGAAACGCTTTTGAAACTCGAGACGCCGTTCACGCCCGCTTGAAACCTTTCCCATCGATAAAATATTCCAGCTTGGAGTCTGGCCACGGCTTAGCATTCACTTTTCCCTGAGATTTCGTGATTTCAGGGCTGCCTGTGTCTGGCTCTGCTGGGCGTTTGAAGCTCGGTGTTTCCTGGAGATGGGGTTGGCTTTGCCAGCCTGGCCGGTGGGATGCCCAGACCACCAGCTCCATCCAGTTAATGGCTGAGGAGAGTCAGTCTGAGTTTGCTTTGAACCCCTGTGGAGAAAGTTGTTTGTCTTGAAAACATAAAGTAAATCCCTCTAAAAACAGCAGTTTATTTACAACAGCAGAGGCAGAAGCCACCGCTCCACCCAGCATGTGGGCTGTATTTAAGTGTGAGGATGCATGGCCCCTTTATGCACTGATAAATATTATTTATTATAAATAAATAATAATAAATTTTTTTGGAAAAGGACAAGCAGCTCCTTTTTATAAGTGAAACCCCAAGAAGGAACACATGTTCCAATCTATGTGGCAAAGCAGCAGGAAAGCAAAAATCTGCAGCTTTCAGCCCATGGCATTGCTTTAAGTGACATCCCTGGTGTCACCTCCTAGCTTCAGGGACCACAGCTCTGCCTCACTCTCCTCCTCTTCCCTGCCTCAGTTTCTCTACCTATGAGAAGACAATTGCATCCTTTATTAATCCCTGTGAGATCTCCTGAGGAACTCTCTGCGTACGAGGTTGGCCCCACGTATTAAGGGCTTGCTGTGGCTCTAATGGGGATTAATTTGGGACGTGGCTTGGTGAGGTTTACCTTTCACAGCCCAATTGTAATCAAAGCCCTGCCACGCTGGAGCTCGCTGACCTGTGACACTCCCTTCCTTGGCTGCTCGATGGGCCATTAACCAGCACTTTGGCTTTTAATTAAAGCTGGGTTTTGTCCTCCTTGGAGAAATGTGGATGTGCTTGGCCCCACGTTGCTGAGTCATTGGAGGGTGTAAGGAAGGAGATGTGGAGCTCAGGTTGTTCTGCCATGTGTGCCTCTCTATATCCCAGGACAAGGAGCCATTGTTCCTTGCTATTTTTCACAGAATCATGGAATTACAGAATCATGGAGCGATTGGGGGTTGGAAGGGACCTTAAATCTCATCTCATTCCACCCCTCTGCCATGGGCATGGACACCTTCCACTATCCCAGGTTGCTTCAAGCCCCATCCAAGCTGGTCTTGAACACTTCCAGGGATCCAGGGGCAGCCACAGCTTCTCTGGACAACCTGTGACAGTGCCCCCTTTTCTATGTGCAGCTTGTGTCCCCCATCCCAGGGGTTTCAGGGACCTTCTGGGGGCCATGGATGCCCCACAGGCATCATCTCCTTGCTCTGAGATGCCTTGACCATGGAGAAAGCAACAGGGAGGCTTTTGTTCTACACCAGAAACTTTTCATCCTTCTTTATGGCTCCTTTTTTATTTCTTTTGGCTGCGCCCTTGCAAATCTGAAGCAGCTTAAAATACAGTTCCTCCCCCCCACTCCCCTTAAAAAAAAAAAAAAAACAACCCCAAAGCTTGGCTGCTTGAAATCATCAGATTTCACTGGAGTCTTTTAAAGTTAACAGTTTCCTGGATCCTGGGCAGACTAGCTGATTTTTCCCCTTTAACCTCCGTGTTTTTTGCTGTAACGTTTCTCAGCTGTTGCAGCAGGAGGGAGGGAGGACCAGGGCAGCAGCTCCAGTGTGGAGAAGGTTATTTCACACGGGGGTTGGATGAACCTGGTGTGGGATTCCTTGGATTTGCACCACAGGGGACAGAAAGGTTGTCCCCGGGAGGCTGAGCCCCCACAGCATGGCTGGCAGGTAGGTCGTGGCTGCATTCATGACACCCTTCTGGAGCAAAATATTAGGGAAATGGTTCCATTGGAGAGGACAGTGGGGTGCTGGGGGTTGGTCTGAGCTCTGTTTCTGCCGCCTGTGTATTTGCTGAGGGCTCTGATGGTTCCTAGCTGTGCTCGTGGATGTGGGGACTGCTGCAAGAGAAGCACGGCTCAGGTGCACATGAGCATGGGGAACTTTTCTGGCTTGATGGGATTTGCTGCCCCAAATGCAGCCTTGGATGTTCCTTACCTACGGAATCTCTTAGTGGGATTGCTGAGAAGAGCATCACAAGTTAAAAGAATTGGGGAGGAAGGAAAAGCTGCAGTCCAGTGCTGGTTGGTTTTGTTGCCTGTCCTCCAAGAGTTGTTTCTCCTTCCTTGCAAAATTCACCTGGAGCTCTCCCAGACTGAGGACGTTTCTCTGGGGTGGTTGAGGAGCTGGAGGCAGCCAGCCTTGGCCAAAGGCAGCGATTATCAGTGAGGGTGAGGTGGGGCAGCGTCCTCCAGCTGAAACATCCTCATGCCATGGCCGAGGGGAGCCCCTGACCCGTCCCAAATCCCTCTGACCCAGCGGGACTGGAACCCAAACGCAGCCCTGCGACGCCGAGCTGCGCATTAACCCCGCCGGAGCTGGGAACAAAGGTTTGGGGGCTGGATTGGGCTTTTTAAAATTTATTTGCAAAGCAAACCAGCTCAGCTGAGCGGAACAGGCGTCGGTGGAGCAGCGTGAGCTGCCGGGTGGTTGCTGGGCTATAAAATCCCATCCCCACCAGCGCTGGCAGGGGGATGTGCCGGCTCCCCGAGCTCTCAGAGCGTTTCCACGTTGGCCAGGAGAGGTTCTGAACATGTGTGTTGGTCTCTGGAGGCTTTAATCAAATCCAGGCTTTACCAGAAATCGCCTCGAAACTTCCAGCGAGCTGAGGAAACTGAAAGCAGCTGGAGCAGGGAGGCTCCCGGGGCTGGCAGGGATGTTGCCTTCAGCAAGGGGACAGTCCCGGTGAGGCAGCCGGGATGAGAGGTGAGTCTGCTCCCCGTGGGAAGTCAGAGGAAAGCCCACAGGGTTTGGCAAAAAGGGGGGCTCAAGGGGGAAGGATTTGTGAGTGAGGACACTTGGATTTTGGAGCACTGCTCCATGGCATGTGTGGGTTCAGATCCTGCGGTTTCCCCACCGTCTTCCCACCCTGTGCAAAATGAGGAGCCGTGCAATTACTGCGCCGTGGAAAACTCCCCGCTCCAGGGGAGGGTTTTGTTATCCCTTGGTGATTTTATTTGGGAAACAGGGTTCAGACTGCAGGTACTTTCCTTGCTTGTAAAACTTCATCACACGTTGCTCTCCTGTGGGCAGAAGGGAAAACAAGGTGTATTTTTAACTTCCTTTTCTAAGCTGGGGGCAGGGAAACTTTATGCCCGGCCAGCAACGGTTGTGATCATCTGAGGGTGAAGGGTTCAGAGAATGAGAGGAAGATAAGAGATAATAAATGAGAGCAATTAAAATCCTAGGGGAGAGGATTTGCTGGAATTGTTATCCCAGACAGCTGCTCGGGGTTTAATTGGGGCTCTCCAAGGGGAGGGAGGTTTTGGTCACAGGTCCCAGACATGGGACATGACAGCCAAAATTGCTGCCTCTTCCTCTTGGCCGTCTCTCGCTGGTGCCTAGGGGCTTTCCTGGGGGGAAGGAGCCTGGGGCTGTGCTGAGGAGTAAAGCTGAAACCTGCAGAAATGCTCTTAAACCACCAAACCCATGTCTCAGATGGGGAAACAAACAAAGCCTCCTTTAGAGTCCATAGTCTCCCCATAATTTCTCTCAGAGGCACTGCTGTGTGTCCTGGGAATGTCCTTATCCTCTTCCTTCTCATCTTTGATGATTTTGGTGGGGCATTTCTGTGGAATGAGGAGTCAGTCTTAAAAACCACTGGAGGGGAAGGGAAGGCAAACTTGCTCCAAGGCTTCCTGGCTGCTTTCAGTATTTTTTCCAAGTTACTGTGGGGTTTGAGGGACACTGGCTGCAGCTGGGGCTGCTTGGATGCAATTCCCACCATCCATCTCATCCAGTGTTTAACTTGAAGGATGATGTGTGAAAGGAAAAGAGCTGGAGGAGAAGCTCACAGTGGGATAAGGAAAATCCCAGCTCCAGGTGATCCAGCCCTGCTTTGTTTTCAGGGTTACCAAGATGGGAACTTGGTTTTGGGCAAGGAGGAGGGGATGAGGGAGAAGTCATCTCCAGCCTCCTCCACATCCATTCAAGGGACCACTGGTCTGCAAAGTGCATCCCTCAGGAATGTCGCATCCCTGTGTTTTCTCCCTGTCTCCACAGCCTACCCATGAGCTCAGACTTCCAGCATTACAGTTTCAGGATGCCGAACATCGGGTTCCAGAACCTTCCTCTCAACATATACATCGTGGTTTTCGGCACAGCCATCTTCGTCTTTATCCTCAGTTTGCTCTTCTGTTGCTACTTGATCAGGTAAGGGAATATTGTAAGGGAATGTTCTCCAAGAGTTCCACTGCTTCCAGGCCCAGCACTGATCCCTCCATCCCAAAAAGAGGATGGCAGCATCTTATTTCCTTGACACATCTTGTGTCAACCCGACATCCCACAAAGCAGTCACATTATCCACTTCAAACCAGGAGATACACATTTGCTAAGAAAGGTATGGAATTGTGGTCAGCTTCTCAGAAAACCTGGAAAGGGATGTTTCATGGTCCCTGCTTTCTGCTTAATGTTTCAACACACTTCCCTCTGTAATGAGTAACTCGTGTCCTGCATGCCTAAGGAATGTTTAATACCTGCTCCGTTGCTTATTGAACACAAATTGCTCCTTCAACGGCACAGTTTGGAGATTAATGATGCAGAGTTGATGTGTTAATCTGAGCAATGGGGGAGCAGGATGGCAGGGTTAAAGGTTGTTTCAGTTTGGGGCTTGTTTTAATTATTTTATGGGCCATTGGGGAGATTGTTGGGTTGCTAATTGAGAGGAGAAACTCTTCCTGACAGAGGAAAAATGAGGCAAGTGGGGAAAAACCACAGTGCCTGAGAATTGAGGTGGTGATGGAGATGACTTGTGCTGATAACCCAAGATGGAGGCTGGCTGTGCTTAAGCCTGTGCCTGGGAGCAGAGGTCATCATTCTGCCAGCAATGGTATCCAAAATTTTGCATTCCCAGAGCTCTCCTCTCCAACTTTTCCATCCCCTTTCCTTCCCCTCTGTCTTTCCAGCTGGCCCCAGCTCCCTGCAAGCTGTGCATCCATCACATCCCTTCCCTGGTACCCAGTCTCTCCCTGCACCACTGCAGCCAGTCCCACCAGGTTATCTATCCAAAGGGTGTTGGAAATATTTTATCCTGCTCTTGTAGACCAGGAAAATGAGATTTCAATATCAACCTTCTAAATACTTGATAATTCCCACCCATTTTCAGTTGTGTATGAAGCAAAACCTCATCAAACATGCAGATGAGCCCAAACCCAGGTTTACCAAGGGTGATTTGGGCTGCTTGGGCATCATATCTTAATTTTTTTTCCCCACAATTATGAAAATTGTGTTTTGAATGTGTATGAAAATAAACTAGAGGTGTTCAGAGGACTCAAGGACTTGTTTTGCTCAGGTAGAGCTCGAGTCTATATGGCTCACTTAGAAAATTGCAGGGGTGTGTGGACTTGGAGAGTATTTTCCTGGGCACTCGCTGGGTGTGTTGTGCCCCAAAGAAGGAATAACAAGGAGTAATGTCTGGAAGGTCAAGCCAGAAAATCTTTAAATTTAGAAGCTGGAGGCGTGTTGTAAGAGAGAGAGGGTGAGTAACCGGTGAGAGAAGCCAGCAAGGAAGTGGCAAGTCCTCAGTCTCCTCACGTCTTTAAATCAAGACCGAGGACCTTTCTGGCCGAGACGCCTTGGCTCCTGTTCCTGAGGTGCTATTTAGCAACCCATGATAGATGTGGAGTTGGATTAGGTCATCCAGTGATCCCTTTATAGCCCAAAACCCTAGAGAGACTCCACAAATGGCTCTTCAGCCCTCCTCCCTCAGCTCTTTTATTGTCAGAACAGAATGAAAACAGGATCCTCCAGCCCCCATTGTGGAGGGTTTTGCTGTGCCGTGGGTTTTAGCTGTGCCAGTGTCCCAGGAGCATCCACCTCCACGGAAGCTGCTCTGTAATCTCAGCTCATCTGGGATATAAAAGTCTGAATTTTGGAAGCATTGTAGGTGGACAACAGGATGAGGACCACCCACCTGCAAGGGTAGAGAGACCAACAGAAGGATAGGGTGGTCCCCTCCAGAGCTCCAGGGCTCTGCTGCCATCCATGGGGGTTCTTTGCAGCTAACAGCAGCTCCTGGTTTTCCCCTAGGTGCAGCATCAACACAGCCCTTCCTCTCCCTCCCTTCCCATAACTCCACATCTCCAAATAGTTGGCAAACACCAAGCAAGGCTCATGACACCATCCTCAGGCCCTGGTTCTCATTTCCTGCTCTGGATCAGAGCAGCCCCTGCAGCTCTCCCTGAATCCCCAGCTGGGGAGGCATCCAGAGTGTGGAAGAGCCAATATCAGGTATATTCACCCCAAATCACAGAGCTGATGGCATTAAATAAAAGATGTGCTGGGGAAGGAGAGGACATGGGCTGTGCTTTGCAGCTGTGTCAATAAAGGCTGTGCTGCCTGCTCCAAGGGAAGGAAAAGTGACATTTTTAATTGGATTGGCTCAAAACAAGAGTCCAGTTTCACAACAAAAATCATCATTGCCTGTGTATTGTTCAGGTGAACCTCGAGCTTTTCTGGTGCTGCAAACCACTCAGGTCAGAGCTCAGGTCCCTCATGGCTGCTGCCTCTGCTCAGCAAGATTACAGATAAAAAAGGAAGAGCAAGGAAATGAGATTTTGCAAGCTGCTGGTCGTGTCTGATCTGTGCTGAATTAATGGAAGTGATAAATTGATGTGGCCTTTGGTCCCATAAAGCCTAGTCCAGAAGGATGCTGAGCTGAGCAATGCCACCCTTGCTGTGGGTCAAGTCTGCAGCATCCTCTCTCTGTGCTTTGCTGTGGATCATCCAGGGCTCATCCCTGCCCAGCCTGGAGCAGCTCAAAGTCTCTAGGAAGCTCAGGGTACACAGCACCTAAAGAGCCTTTTTTTTTTTTTTGGGTTGTTTCCTTCTACATTCAGACCTGCCAGGACCCAATACAGTGGTTGGGTTTTGTGTTCAGAGAAAGGAACAGAGCTGGGGAAGGGTCTGGAGCCCCAGGAGGGGCTGAGGGAGCTGGGAAGGGGCTCAGCCTGGAGAAAAGGAGGCTCAGGGGGGACCTTGTGGCTCTGCACAACTCCTGACAGGAGGGGACAGCCAGGGGGGGTCGGGCTGTGCTCCAGGGAACAGGGACAGGAGGAGAGGGAATGGCCTCAGGCTGGGCAGGGGGGGTTTAGATTGGATATTTGGGAAAATTTCTTCACTCAGAGGATGGTCAAGCATTGGCATAGCTGCGTGGGACAGTGTTGGAGTCCCCATCCCGGGGAAGATTTAAAAGCCATGTGGATGTGGCACTTGGGGACATGCATTAGTGCTGGCCCTGGCAGTGCTGGGGGACTGGATGATCCTAGAGAGCTTTTCCAACCCAGATGATTCTGTGATTCCATGAAGAGCCCAAGGAGCCTGGCTGAGCTGGGGACAGCAACACAATGATGGGATAAAAAGCCAGTGCCCAGGGCCTTTCTTCTCCTTCTACTATAAAGCATCTAATATGGAAATCTCAGAGGTAAACCTGCAAAACATTTTTCCTCTGCATTTCATCCCCGTAGTTGTTCACGTGCTGTAGGTGATTCAGTCACCCAGAGAAGCAGGGAGCTCCCACTCCTGCAGGAAGAGATCCCAAAGCCCCGGAGAGGCAGTTGTTCCTTCAGGGATGGTGACAGCACACAGGATCAGCAGCCAGGCACTGTGTGGTCCCTTATCTCGGGCAGACATCTGCCAGGAATTCCTCGGGAGTCACAGCACTTGACACGAGATGGATGGAGCCGGCTCTCCCACAGGGAATAGCGCTTGCCAGGATCCGGGGTCTCCTCACGACAGCTGCACCGGGCCCCAGCAGCATCCATCTGGCCCAGGATCCTGGCTCAGAGAGCAAGGAGGAGCAGGCTGAGCTCGCACGCTTCGCCACCAGATGTGCTCGTGCTGCTCCCCAGAACCTCCAGGAAGGAGTTTTTTTGGGAAAATCTCCCTGTCTAGCTCAGCACAAGCCCAGGGCATTCCAGATCCGTGTGCTTCCCGGCACATCCACAGCCAGGTGGTCACTTCCTCCCCACCACTGCTCCAAGGTGCTCCAGGGCCTTTGGCTCATGGGGCCCAGACCCTTGGTGGCCACCCAGTGCTCCACAGAGGGATGCTGCTTCCCATTCCAGTCGAGCTTTCCCTTGCCTGTGGCCTCGCTTCTCCCCATCTGTGTTTCATAACTGCCTTCCCAGCAGCCGGATCCCTGCGGATTGGGCCGGTTTCATCCTGTTCCCTCTATTGTTCCTGCATCTTCTGCTCATGTTTCTGTTCAAGGTCACTGCCAGAGGGATGAGACCCCGGTCTCCTCCTCCTTCTCTTCCTCCTCCTCCTCTTCTCCTCCTCCTCCTCCCTGCCTGCTGCACTGTTTTCCATGGTTCCGCAGGCGGGTTCCTGCCAGGCAGCGTTGCTGGAGCAGGAGGGATGGCTCCCTGTGAGATTTGGGACTCAGGAGCTTTGTGCATCTCTCTCTCTGCAGAATTAAGGTGCATTTTTACCCATCCCTCACCTTCTAATGCCCACAACATTTTGGGGGAGGGTGGCAGACATAAGGAAATCTTTTTCCGTGCCATTTTTACAACTCCCCCACTGCAGCGTGGCAGGCTTGGAAAACCCCCAGAAGCTCAGGTTGAAGCAGCCAGGGATTTCAGACAGCCCTCAAAATACTTTTGCAGAATAGAAATTCCAGGCAAGGGGGTTTCCCATCTGAAATCACTTGGGGCTGGTTGTGGAAAATATTCCTATGGCTCTCCAAGCCCTGCAGCCACATATTGACTCTGTATTGAAAGTCCTTGGCCAACTCTTCAGCCCTGGGGACTTCCCTCCTGAGTTTTCCAAGCACTTTATTAAATGCCATGTCTGGTAATGAGAGGCAATATTGGTTATTTTAATTTTAAGTGTATTTATTTTAGGAGCATAATGGGTTTCTCCATCCAGCAGATGCCTGTAGAACGCTCTGCTGGCTCTGACTCTGGAGAGGAGAGGCTGGGGAGGGAGGGGATGGAACCAGCACTTTGCTTGTGGCCTAAAATTCCTGCTGGACTTCCCACTGCAGCAGGTGTTCTTGGAACAGGCCCATCCCATTCATCTCCCTCCCTCAGTTTGCTCCAGGAGTGGATGTGGTTTGATTGATCTCAGAATTGAGGATAAAGCTGTGTTTGAGGAACCCAGTGTCACCCAAGCAGCGTGATGGGGGCTTTGGTGGGAAACCTCTGGGCAGGGTCTCCTTCCCTGTCCCTGCTGGAGTGGGAGCAGGGCTTTCCTCAGGTCTGAGCCCCATGCCTTGGAAAACGGTGCTGCATTCAGTGTTGGAGCCATTGCCAGCAGAAGTGGTTGGAAACTGAGGGGATTTATGGCAGACTGTGATTTCCTCACCCACTTTTTCTGGTCTTAACTAAGTGGTTGTTGTGTGCTTGGAAAATGAGGGAGGTCAGAAGAGGGATCAGGGAGGAGTTGTGTGCATTGGGATGGAGACATTGCCCTGCCAGCAGCAGGGAACGCTGGATGTTGCCTAAACATGTCATTTCCTGTGGCCATTCTCATTTCTGAAATCAAAAATGTAAAATATGACATGTTAAAGCTGGAAAGGAGGGAGGTGGAATGTCTGAGCTATTACAGTAATCCTGATTTTTTTACCTGACCTCACGTTTCTCCCTGCTTTCATTGCAGGCTCAGGCATCAGGCACACAAAGAGCTTTACGCCTACAAACAGGTGAGATGATCTCTAAGTTTTTTTTCCTTTCCCTTCTCCCTAGTGCCAAATCCATCAATTTTCCTCATGCTGTTCCTCTCCTTGGGTGGTTTCTAGCCCTCAAAGGGCAGTTGTAACACCTAGCTGATTTTATTGTCCCCTACCAGCTGGGCCCCCCAGGACCGTCCTTCACCTGCTCATCCCCAAGTCTCCCAATTTTCCTTGGAGGTCCTGAGCAGTGGGAACATCTCCACCTCTGGAGCACCCCCACCTCTCCAGCGTCACCCACTGCACAGCAGTGATGCCAGCACTCCCCCAGTCACCAAACTTAGATTTTGTGGGGTCTGCATCTGCTCCCGGGGTTGGATCTGGCTGCTCCAAATCCCTGAAGCCACAGGGAGCAGCTCCATGGCGAGCCCAGCTCTTCCCTGCACCCACCTGCACTTAGAGTTAAAATAAACACAGCCCAGAGGTGGGTGTCAGGCTGCTGCTTCCACGTCCTGTTTTCTCCAGGATTTGTGGGATTTTCTGCCTCTGACCCCTTGATCTGTGCAGGAAGCTGGGTGGAGCTGGGCTGAAAGCACCATTATACATTGCATTTATAGCCCTCTCCAGGTGCTCAGCTTGGATGGAGGGAAAGTGAAGTGGTAGCTCAGGAGGGTTAAATTTGGGAGGAAACCTGGATTTGGTCCTTGTGGTTTTATCTTTTCCCTCCTCCTGTCCCTGCACAGGGCCCCTCGTGTTCCCTGGCTGTGCTGGGTTTACTGGGGGGTTTCCAGTTCTACTGGGACACGCGGTGGGATTCCTTTGTGGAGATTTTTCCTGGGAATGCTGATGGCAGAAGCTCTGTCCTGACCCCAGCTCTTTGCCTTGCAGGTCATACTCAAGGAGAAGGTGAAGGAGCTGAACCTCCATGAGGTGAGCACATCCTGGAGCAACAAAAGCTCCCTCTCCCTCCTCTTCCTCACCCTGGGGAGGGGACAAACCCCCAAATTCAACTCCCCTGGGAGCAGAGCATGCAGCCATCTGTGCTTTGGAGATGGGGAAAGATCCTCTTCAAAAGTCTGGATTAAACCCTCTCCCCCCTCCTGTCTCCCATTGGCTTTTCCTGCATCGTTATTGTTATTTATTGTGTTCTTCTTATCACAATGATAAGAAGCTGTGGATAAGGGCAGGCCAAGGCAGTCTGGGCCGTGTATAAACAGTGTCCCTGAGCAGGGACGTCCCCAGTATCCAGCACAGCTCCGGGCAGGGAAAGCTGAAATCAGGATAAACACGCTCCCCCGGCTCCTGCGGGAGGCAGATCCGCTCCTCCCTCCCCGCCGCCGAGGGCTCAAACACCTTCCTTTATCTCCATGGCCTTCCAGGCCTCTTGGGGCTGAGCGTTTCTATTCACAGTCCATTTTTCCTGATGAATTTGAGCAGGGATCTGCTGAAATCCCACGTCAAAGCACGGCCTGGATTTGTTTATTTATTCCTCTAGAGATAACAAAAATGCCCACCCACATCCGGGCACGAGGCTGCTCATCTGCTCAGCACCAGCTCCAGTTGTTTCTAAACCACTATTTATTTTATTTTAATCCCCCGAGCAGAGCCCATCCCACGTTTTATCCTGACCCTCCACTCCCCGCAGCCCCCAGGGTAAATCCCAAGGGCGCCGGGGTTGTGAGCAGTCCCTGCTCAGGCCCCTTTTTCTGATCCACTCCCTTTAAACCGACCTGCAGTGGAGTTTTTGTCGTCACACTGGCTTCAAAGCACTTCCTGGGCTGAGAAATGAGCTGGAGGAGGGATTTGGGAATGTGCCAGAGCCGGGAATGGCCTCAATAACGCTCAGCCCTCCTCCGGCTCCGTTCCCAGCTGTCTGCAGCTCTCCCAGCTTTTGGGGAGAACGAGGCCTCTGTGGGGAAGAGGACAGAGCTGTTCAAGCTCTTCCCTGGGATTTGGAAAAGCCTGGAAGGCTTTAGCTCAAAAAAGATCCCGTTTTGGGCATTTTGTATTTTGGCATTTGCAGGCAGTGTTTCTGGAAAGCAGAGGACGGGGTGGGAATTTTCCAACATTCCGGAGCCGTGCGGAGGGAGAGCTCCCACCCAGCCCTTCCCTCTGCCTCTGCCTCTGGTTTTCCCCTTTTCCCATCATTCTGCCTCTCCCAGGCCCTGGGGCAGCTCAGGATGTGTGTTCCTCAGGGGTGACCCCAACAGCTGCACCTGGCCCTGCTGCACTGGGAGATCCCAGGCCAGGGAGGCTGGGAAAACCACCCAGGAATATCCAAAATCCCCTGGGATATCCAAAATGAGTCGGGAGGAATTGGCTGCGAGGGTGGAAGGAGGTTTTGGCTGAGAAAACAGCCAGCAGCTTTCCCAGCCATGGGACAGGCATGGCAACAATCCCATGGCCTTTTCCTCTTCCCAGAGGTGTCCCTGGGAATGCTGCCAGTCCCAGGGACCAGGCAGCAGCGTGGATCCATCCCCCTGCACCCTGAAACCTCAAACACATCCCAGCTTTGGGGCTGTTCTGTGGAGGCTCCATGGCCTCTTCCAGCAGGAAAGGGAGACCCGAGCCTCAGCCTGTGATCCTGAAGCTTGGACAGCAAAATTTGGGAAGGCTTTAGGGGGGAAATTTCATCCCTGTGAGGGTGGGAGTGAAGTGTTTCCAGAGAAGCTGTGGCTGCCCTTGGATCCCTGGAAGTGTCCAAGGCCAGGCTGGACGGGGCTTGGGATAGTGAGAAATGTCCCTACCCATGGCAGGGGGTGGCACTGGATGGTTTTTAAGGTCCTTTCCAGCCCAAACCATTCCATAATTCCATGATTTTAGCCACCTGGTAGTTTTTATTGGCCAAGGTTGCTCCCTGAGCGCTGACATTCCCTGTGCATCCCACGCCCTGCAGATCTGTGCCGTGTGCCTGGAGGAGTTCAAGCCCAAGGACGAGCTGGGGATCTGTCCCTGCAAACATGCCTTCCACAGGAAGTAAGTGGGGCCATCCCAGGGCAGGAGGGGCAGGAAAAGCCCCTCTGGGATCACCTGGGGCGTGTGGAGCAGCTGCAAAACTCAGTCACGCTTGGGGGAGCTGGGGGGGAATTTTTAGGATGCCCCGTGCTGAGTCAGCACTTGGCTGTGGTGATCCTCATGGATCCCTTCCAAGCCAGTCTGTAATTCCATGGAAAATGGAAATATATAGATTGGATTTATTTATTTTATTCTATATATTTATTTACTTTATAATCATATTTATTAATATTTATATATTTATATATGTATATAGGTATACTTTTTATTTAATTATTTATTTATATATATAAAGCAAACCCACTAAAATTTATAATAATAATAATAATAATAATGATAATATTTTATATAACAGTACTATAGTACTGTTACATATATATATATATAAATATAATATTCTATATGCTAAAACTACATAATATCCTAGTATATATTACAGATATTTTTATATTCTCTGTATATACCTTATATATTTATATTTCTATATTATACATTTGACATATTTATACATTTATATATACACTATACTATATATACTGTATATACACTATATATACACTATATATTGTATATATAATTTGTATTGTATTGTATATATAATATTGTATATATATAGTATATATATAAGATGTATAACATCTTATATAACATATAAAATTATATATAATACATAATAGTATGATTACATAAAACACATAATAAGATTATTATATCAGAGTTATTTACATTACTTTTATTTTTATTTACCCATACACATTATATACATGATAGTGGATTATTGGTATATTATTTGCAGATTCTGTGTTTATAATTTCACAGACACCTTTTTATGTATATATTTTGTTTATATTTTGGTAGGTGTATGCCTTTTTATATCCCTATTATATAAATATACATATAAATATAAATATAAATTAAATATAAATATATAAAAATATAAATACATATGGATATATAAAATATATAAATATATATATATATAAAACATATTAAACATATATAATATGTAAATTATATACAAAACATATCTATACAAAACTCCTGTATACAAACACAGAGAACCCCCCCAAAAAATCCCATTAAAACATAAAGGCACCCAAATGGTGAATTAAAAACTGGGCAGCAGCAAAGCTCCAGGGCAGGGGACAGGGGCTTGGGGGGATTCTTACAGCTCCACATCAGTGTCAGGGGTCCCCAGTGATGGCAGCTGTGTCCCCATCAGTGTCAGGTGTGTCCCTACCTGTATCAGGCGTGTCCCCACCGATACCAGCTGTATCCCCAATGATGTCAGGTGTGTCCCCAGTGATGTCAGCTGTGTCCCCATCAGTGTCAGCTGTGCCCCCAGTGATGTCACACATGTCCCTAGTGGTGTCAGGCATGTCCCCAGTGATGTCAAGCATGTCCCCATCAGTGTCAGGTGTGTCCCCAGTGATGTCAGGTGTGTCCCCATCAGTGTCAGGTGTGTCCCCAGTCATGTCAGGTGTGTTCCCACTGATGTCAGCTGTGTCCCCATCAGTGTCAGCTGTGCCCCCAGTGATGTCACACATGTCCCCAGTGACGTCAGGTGTGTCCCCAGTGATGTCAGGCATGTCCCCATCAGTGTCAGGCATGTCCCCAGTGATGTCAGGTGTGTCCCCATCAATATCAGCTGTGTCCCCAGTCATGTCAGGTGTGTTCCCACTGATGTCAGGTGTGTCCCTACCTGTATCAGTGTGTTGCCCCCAGTGATGTCACACATGTCCCCAGTGACGTCAGGTGTGTCCCCAGTGATGTCAGGCATGTCCCCATCAGTGTCAGGCATGTCCCCAGTGATGTCAGGTGTGTCCCCATCAATATCAGCTGTGTCCCCAGTCATGTCAGGTGTGTTCCCACTGATGTCAGGTGTGTCCCTACCTGTATCAGTGTGTCCCCACTGATACCAGCTGTATCCCCAATGATGTCAGGTGTGTCCCCAGTGATGTCAGCTGTGTCCCCATCAGTGTCAGGGGTCCCCAGTGATGTTAGGCATGTCCCCATCAGTGTCAGGCATGTCCCCAGTGATGTCACACGTGTCCCCAGTGATGTCAGGCGTGTCCCCACTGACGCCCCGTGTCGCCGGTGTCCGCAGGTGCCTCATCAAGTGGCTGGAGGTGCGGAAGGTGTGTCCCCTGTGTAACATGCCGGTGCTGCAGCTGGCGCAGCTGCACGGGAAGCCGGACCCGGGCCCGCCGCAGGGGCCGCTGCCCGGCTCCCAGAACATCGTATAGTCCCTGCCGGGCCCGGCCCGCGGCGCTCGGACACAACCAAAGCACTTCGGCCGCAGCTGAGCAGCCCCGAATCCCGCCGGGATGAAGCCTGGGCTCGGATCCTCCGCCAGGACCACCAGGGGACTCGGCATCCTCGGCACGACATCCTTCTTCCAGCACCTCCCTTCTCCAGCCCCGCGGCCGCCGGGCAGCGGCGCGGTGGCACCCAGCGACCTCCGGGAGCGGCGGCACGGCCCCCGGGCTCCGGCAGCGCCTGCCCCGAGCATCGCGGCCGGTTCCTGCTCCCCCCTCTTCGCCTTCGGTTCCTTTGCCTTTGCGGTTCCCAGCAGGAAATGGGGTCTCTCCCCCTGGAGTCGTGCTGCGGTTCGGTGTCCCCTCGGCACCCGGTGTCACCCCCGGTGGTGGCTGAGAGGGGTCTCCCGGGTTTGGATTCCCCCTCTCCCTCTCGAGGGTGGCTGCCTCTCCTCCTCGGCTACCTCAGGGGCCTGGAGCTCCTGTAAGGGGCACCGTGCTGGCCTCAGCAGCAGCAGGAGAGCCGCGGCGTGGGGGGCAGGCAGAAATCCCGGCCTTTGGGATCATCCCGTCGCTTCCAGCCTGGCCCCGGGGCTCTCCGGGCCGCGGCTCGCCTTGCCAAAACACCCAAAGCCCTGAGCAGCGCCCGGGGGCAGCTGGGCCACCCCCTGCCTCTCCGACGCGGGTTTTGGGTGTCCCCTGCCACGGTCACCAGGCGCATTCCCGGCTTGGGGGAGGGGGTGTCAGTATTACACGGCAGCGGCTTTCCCGGGCAGGGCTGGGGGGGCTCCTGGTGCCGTCCCCCCTCCCCAAAAAACCCGGGACTGTTTATGGAGCGTGGAGCCTCATAGACGTGTTTGTACACTACAAATTCTGCAGCAGAATATTTTTTAAAACATTCGCTGGTTTTGGTTTTTGGTTTTGGTTTTTTTTTTTTTTCCTCTGTTTGTTTGGTTTTTTTGTAAGCTCTATTTTTGTATATTTAATTGCTATTTGAAAATTCTAATAATGCGTCTTTTTTGCTAATCACTCTTCTTAAGGAAAAAACAGGAAAGAAAAAAAAAACAAAAACAACCAAGAGTTGCATGTGATTTGACTTGAAATGTAAATAAAAGCAGGTTTTGGAAGCGGGGGTGTGTTTGCCGGGGGTCTGTCCCCCCTCCCTTGTTCCCTGTCACCCTGGGGGTGTCCCCAGCAGGGAGGGACCACAGGGCTGGAAGAGGGGCGGGTTTGGGGTTGGGGTCACATTGTCCATGTCCCCTTACAGCATTCCAGCATCCCTGTCCCAGAGCAGAGCCCATGGGGACAGCATCCCTTAGGGAGAGGCTTTTCCTCCCACCACCCTTCCCGGCCCAAGCCCCCGATGCCGACCTGGGGATGGGCAGGGTTCATCTCCCGGCTCGGCGCTGCGGGATCTCCGGGCTGCAGCTCCCAGCCCCGTGTCCTGCTCGCTTGGTTCCACTCCTCCTCTTCCTCGCGGCGTGAGCGGGCGGGTGCCGAAGGCCCCTTGGGCTGTGCCCGTGGGGGTGGCTGAGCCGGGATCCCCCAGGGTGGGGTCCCTGCAGGACCCGCTGTGCAGGGGCTGGCGGGACTCTCCCGGGTCCCGTCCTGCTGTCCCTGTCCCATCCCTGCCTGCGGGGCTGCTGCCCTCTAGTGCCGGATCCACCGGGACACCGCCCAACCCATGGAATGCTTCGGATGAGCAGGAACCTTAAATCCCATCCCAGGGACACCTCCCACTAGCCCAGGTGGCTCCAAGCCCCGTCCAGCCTGGCCTTGGACACTTCCAGGGATCCAGGGGCAGCCACAGCTTCTCCGGGAAATCCATTCCAGGCCCCCCCACCCTCACAGGGCACAATTCCTTCCCACTATCCCACCCAACCCTGCCCTCTGGCAGTGGGAAGGCATTCCCTCAATGCTCTGTTCACCTTCTCCAGAAGGATCCACAGCCATTTTTGGGACGATGAGCTGGCTGGGTGACTTCCCCCTGCTGGGATAAAGTCTGGATCTCCCACAGAGCTGCTCAAAAAGTTATTTTTGGTGTTTCCACCCCACAGCTCCTGCTCTGGATTGATGCTGTACGCTCCCCACCAATCCCGTTCTATTAAGGATCAGTAATGAAGTTTTTCATCAAAGCCAAAACTGCTGCAATTTCCCCAGAATCATTAATGCTCTTTACATTATTTTTTTTCCTCTTTAAAATGTTTTGAAATACAGCTGATTCCCGGAGCCTGAAACATGCAGGATCAAGGCTTGCCAACAATTATTTTCAGGAAGCTAAAAACCAAGTGGGGTCAACCTCAATTCCCCCAGCACATTCCTGCTCATTCCCACCAACATCCATCCCACTGTGCAGGAGCTCCGAGAACGAGACAGAAAGCAAACAAAGGGTTTGAAGCATATAAAAAAAACCCTAATATTTTATACAAGAAGAAAAAAATCAAGCAGTTTACAAAAAAGGAATAGACAATAAGCCAGGAAGTTTGGTGCTGGGATCAGACCGTGCTGGAGCTATTCCAAAATCCAGAGAAAAAGGAGTTACACACGCTCATGTGCAGAGTGAGGAAGGGGAAAAGCTGCAGGATGCTGAGCCCAGGGCCTGGGGTGGATCAGGCTCTGGGATTGCTGCTGGCAATTCCCAGCCCTGCAGAGATTTCCCAGCTCTCCACAGCAGAACCATGGCAAGGTGGCCTCTGCTCCCAAGGCTGCTGTGCTTAATAAAAGCCAGGCTTTTTCCTGTGGATCTCAAGGATTCCCACACCCTCCCCAGCCCAGTCTATCACTGACCTGTTGCATCAAGGAGCCACACGGGTCCCAGGCACACAGACATTCCAAAAAGCCAAAGTTTCTGTGCTTTTTCCATGAGTTTTGGCCGTGAGGGTGGGTGAAAAGCCAGCCAGGTACACGTGTGTTAAATTTTGGGTGGTGAGTCTAGAAACCCTTCAGTCAGCACTCTGGAAATGGAGATGTTTTTAATGGAGAGTTTGGGAACCTTTGTGTGATTTCACAAGGAGTTGAAGAATAAATGAGAACTTGCATTCAGCTGATCCCAAACAGGGTGCCCAGAGAAGCTGTGGCTGCCCCTGGATCCCTGCAAGTGCCCAAGGCCAGGCTGGACAGGGCTTAGAGAAGCCTGGGCCTGGGAAATGTCCCTGGAATCAGAGAGGCTTTGAGGTCCCTTCCCACCCAAACCATTCCCTGAGCTGTTTGATCCTGCTCCAGCCCTCACCTGTCCAGCACCACCTTGTGGAACACTCAGCAGGACACAAATGGAACTCATGTAAGGCTGCAGGAAAAACAAACATCTTCCTCCCCAGCCAGCACAGATCACCTCCCACATGAGCCCTGTGCTCTTTTCCCTGATTTTACTGTGATCAAATCCCTGGCTGTGTCCAGAATCCCAGCTCACAGTCAGCCAAGTTTAGAGACAAACACAGATCTCCCCAGCAAAGCAATCACCCTCTGAATCTGTGGTTTCCTCCCTTTTCAGAGGGAGGTGCCACACAGGGAATCCACCTTGGAGTGCTCAGATGCCAGGATACAGCAACAGGCAGAGCTGGGTGGGATTCACAAGGCAGGGAAGAGCTTGGGGCAGTCCAGCACTTCCAGCCAGGCTCACAAGGGAATCGGAGAAAAATTGGAACTGGAAAAAATTCCAATTGGAAAAAAATTCCAAAAAATTGGAAATTGGTTTCTTTGGGAAGAAACCAGGACTGGAAGGGTGTGTTGGGGTCAGGGTGATGGTCATTCTGATATCCTGGGATAAACCCTGACACCATGACCTGAAGGATCTGAACAGCTTTCCCCGTGCTCCACAGAGCTCCCTGCTGGGAAGCCAGAGCACTTCCAAAGCTGTGTCTCCATGGGCTCCCATCCCAAGGGAAGGTGCAGATACCTTGTTGCTTTTAGAGAGCATTTATTGAGTGTGCAGGATCCATTCCAAGCCCCCATTCCCAGGGGGCAACTTCCACAGGGGCTCCACACCGCAGTATCCTGCTCACAGGCTGTGTGGCAGCATGCACAGGGAAAACAGGGAGTACAGCATGCATGGAAAGGGGAGAATTCCCCCAAAACGACAGGAGTGCAGCCATGAAAAATGTAACATGGAGTATTACAGAGATCTAAGTGTGACTGAAGGAAGTGTCTCTTTGGTGGAGTTTGGTAACAGAGAAACAAACAATGAATATCCCTATTCCACCCTCAAATTCAGAACTCAAGGCTGGAGGCTGACTGACACCCCTGACACCATCCCAAAGGAGCTGAGGAGGGCTGGAGGCTGCAGTGGGACTCACCCTGAGGCACAGACCTCAGCTCTGCTGTACCTCCCATCCCTGGGACAGAGACAAGGACATGTGGAACAGGGATAGATGAAGCCTGGCTGGCAGCACAGCTGTGTCCCAGTGTGGATCCAGTGAGCCATGTGGAGTTAGTTACACACACCAGGGCTGTGCTGATGCTCTTCCCCTTTCCTACACCATTTTCCTGCACGTGGAGAATCTCTGATTGTGAACATAGAACTGACCTGGGCACTTGGCACTCCAAGGAATCCCAATGGAAGGAGCAGAGCGCCGCTGGCTCTGCTTTGTCACCGTCATTAAACATGGAGTAAAACTACAAAAATTCCCCTAAAAAGGGCAAGTTCATGTGGCTGAAATGCCCCCCAGACCTTCCCATACACCCCCACATGCAGCCAGTGTATTCCAATCACATCCTTTGGAACAAACCTGCACTGTAATCCTGGATGGACTTCAGCTCCTCCAGACACCCATCCCCACGCTGTCCCCTCAGGCCACCACAGTGCAAGTCTCAGAGGGGGCTGTGACACGAAACAAGGGCTCAGTGACCCCCAAAGCACAGGATCAGTGGCCCAGGGAGTGCCCTGAATCCATAGGTCCAACACAGATCCTGCAGGGAGTCAGGCTGAGTCCAGGAGTCCCAGGAGAGCACCGACTGCGCCGAAGTAACCCTGAGGAGCAGATGGGGACATGCAGTGAAAATCCATGGAATGCGTTTCCTGACACAGGAACAGCAATGCCCACAGAATCAGGGAATGGCTGGGGTTGGAAAGGACCTTCAAGATATCCAGTGCCACCCCCTGCCATGGACAGGGACACCTCCCACTAGCCCAGGTGTCCAACCTGGCCTTGGGCACTTCCAGGGATCCAGGGGCAGCCATAGCTTCTCTGAGAAACCCATTCCAGGGCCTCATCACCCTCACAGGGAACAATTCCTTCCCAATATCCCATCTAACCCAGCCCTCTGGCAGTGGGAAGCCATTCCCTGTGTCCTGTCACTCCAGACCCTTGTCCAGGTCCTCTCTCCAGCTCTATTCGAGCTCCTGTAGGCACTGGAAAGTCTCCCTGGATCCTTCCCTTCTCCAGGCTATTACAGACACAGAGTAATTTTAACAACATATAAAGGAGAGGAGAAAGATACAGCTACAGGGAGGTACATGATAAAACAGAAAATAAAACAAAATAAAATAAAACTGTGGCAGCAAAGCCCTGAGCTCCTCCTGAACTGTGTGCACCCAACAGCTCCATGTGGCTCTTTCCAGAGCACTCCAAAGATTAGTATTTTTGCCATAAGACAAATTTTAAAAAGGAATTTTACCTCATGTTCCAAGAAAAGTGCTTTTAACTGTCCCTTTGACCAGTAGTCCAGGGCATAGGCCAGGAGCCTCATGGAGATGGTGTTGATCCGAAGGAAGTTGCCCACGAACACCACACGGTTGATGTTCTGCAAGTGTTAAGGGGAAAAAAAAGGAATATTAAGGCTAAATTCTATTTTCTGTTTGCAATGATAAAAACCCCATGTGGGGAAGTGTCTGGAGCACCAGGAGCTGGGAAAGGGGCTCAGCCTGGAGAAAAGGAGGCTCAGGGGGGACCTTGTGGCTCTGCACAACTCCTGACAGGAGGGGACAGCCGGGGGGGTCGGGCTGTGCTCCAGGGAACAGGGACAGGAGGAGAGGGAATGGCCTCAGGCTGGGCCAGGGGAGGTTTAGATTGGATATTGGGAAAGTTTCCACCCCAAAAGAGTGGTCAAGCATTGGAACTGGCTGCCTGGGGCAGTGGTGGAGTCCCCATTCCTGGAGGGATTTAACAGCCATGTGGATGTGGCATTTGGGGACATGGTCAGTGGTGGCAGTACTGGGGGAATGGCTGGACTGGATGATCTTAAAGGACTTCACCAACCTAAAGGGCTCTGAAATTCTATGAATTAATTTCCTGCTGAAAGTGTCTGGCAGGATGTGCAGAACACCACACACAATTTCATCAGAAAGAAGGACCAGGCCATTTTAAGCCACCCTTCTCCTCAGACTCTCCCAGAAATTCCCAGGCCAAACTACAGCCTTTCTAACTCAGGAATTTGGATAGAACAGCTGATTTTCCTACAAAATCCTTACATTGCCTGGGAACACTGATCATCAAGTGCCACCTGCCTCCCCTCCTCCCAGCTCTGGCCTTTGATTCATCATGAAATAGCTGAGTGATTTTACTGTTAAACTGGGGGGGAAAACTGATTAGGAGCCCATAACCAACACAATTTTTAAAGAAAGAAAAATACCAACCAAGCAGTGATTATTTTGGATTTAAACCAGACCTCCAGCCTTACTTTTCCATCCCAAAATAGTTCTGATCCAAGCTTGGAAGCTTTGTTGTTCTCCAACATGAAATCAATTGAGTTCCTCCTCTTTCTGAGGAATCAGATCAAGTCTCACCTGCTCCTGCACTCATATCCTTCTATGGATTTTCCCTCCCTCCCCACACTGATTAACACCTCCCCTGAACTATTCAGGATGCTCTTTTCATTCAGCTGAGCTCCAGACCAAGGAATTAGCAGATATATTTATGAGCAAGGCTGTTCAGGACATGTCTTGCCTCATTTTGGCTGCAGAGCAGAGGAATCAGGAGGATGCTGGATTCCATCAGCCCATCCCGTGGAAGCAGGCTCAGGATGGAGGGCAGAGCATGTCTCTGCTCTTTCATAGCCCTGTACAATGCTGCTTGACATGAATGCAACAAGGCAGCACTGTAAAGAAGCTGAAAGCACAGAGATGCAGCAATGGCTGTGGCAGTGGTGGGGCTTGGCCAAAAAATCCAGAGCAACTCATAAAAACAGCACAGGAGAAGATATCCAGCCTCTACACCCTCTATCCCTCCTTTCCTCCTCTCCCACTGCTTCCCAGAGCTGTTCCCAAAGAGAGGCACATTCCTCAAGCAGGCAGCAGCACACAGGTGATGTTCCAGGCAGGGAGCAAGAGAAGAGATTCCCAAAATACCTCGTTAAGGGCACACATCCGTGCTATGGAGCCAATGTTGTTGGTGATGGTGATTAAAGTGGCCTTGGCCAGGTCCTCCTTGCTGACAGATTCCCTCTTCTCTTTGCTCATCATGTTTCCAAAGCTGTAAAGACAGTTTTGGGGTTATAGGCCCCATCAGAATTCCAGGAGAAAATGGGAACTGCTAATTTAACCCAAGTGATTCATCTTGAAGGACTGATTTCTAACCTCAAAAATCATTGCTATCCACAACTTAGATCTCTTAGGAATGGTTGCTCTCCTAAGGCACCTAAATCCAGTTTTTCATCCTTGCAGGATCTCCAGGGGAAACAAAACCAACATGAGACCCAGGCAGGGAATTACCTGGATGCCACAGCCCAGCCTGGCAGCCCGAAGCGCTCGTAGTCTCCTCCGTAGATGTCCCTCACCAGTTTGTCCACCTTGGTGCTGTCCCCGTGGGATGCCATCTCCAGGGCCTCCTCAAACGTGGAGCAGCCCGTCAGAAGGCAGCAGAGGCCAAAGAAGGTTCCCCCTCCAAGGCTGCAAGTAAAGCAAAATGAAAATGAAAGCTCAGATTGTTCAGCTCTGCATCCCGGTTCGCTCAGGTCACCCCATTCCTGACCTCTTTTTTTAGGGAAAACCATGGAAAGGCAGCATTTTCCTTAAAGTCTGTTCCTCTCACGTTACCTAGAGGCTGTAAGGAATCCCTCCCAGCCTTCTGCACTGTGAGAAATGAGAAATTTTGTAAAAAATGAGACCTCCATTTTTTATGTTACACTGTCCACCTTCTGCCCAGCATCCAGAGATGTTAATCTGTAAATAAATGTGAGTTCTGAGAGATAACTGGAGTGTCAGGGCAGATATCCAAAAGTTGGGGGGAAAACCCTGTTTTGTTCACTTTACAGCACATAGATGCCACGAATAATGTCTAGTAAGAGTAAGAACTGTACTGAGGGAATTTTAAATTATTGTCATGATCAATACTCCTATTGCCTTTCAGGGAATCCAGGAAAGCTTAAAGCCACAGAACTCTATGGCTCTGCCAGGACACAAAAGCCACATCTTCAAGATGGGCAGCAACTGGGGAATGACTGCTATGCCATGATCCCTTCCACCAAAATCTAGCAACTTCTGGAAGTCAGGACGGGAATCTCGACTTTTTGGATCAAAGCTAAGAGTTGTAAACAAACCCAAACTATGTGATCTCATAAAAGAAATAAATAAAGCCCTTAAAGTCCTGCAGCAGAGCAACTGTAACACCAGCTTTGATGGAGACTGGCTGCAGTAAAGACACCAAACCATGAAATCCACATCCCCTTTTCCAGAAGGGATCTTTGTTGGCAGGGAGTAACTACAGTAAGAGCAGGAGCTTGGTCATTTCCCTCACCACCTTTACTGCAGCTTGTCCCTGAAAATGCCATTTACAAAGCAGGAATGTGCTCCAGACCCTAAAGCCCAAGTCCCTTTACCCCCCAGCACTCACCTGGTGCCTGTTACCCGTTTGTAGTTGTCTTTGGAATAGACAGCCAAAATGCTGACCCCTGAGCCAATGTTCACCAGGAGGAGAGGGTAGGGATTCTCCAGGTTGAATGGGAGCTTCTGGCACCTCTCAGCATCCGTGGGGTTCTCAAAATAGTAACACTCTGAGTGTCCATTGAAGCCCACAGAATCAATGTACAGCACTCCTTTCACAAGGCAGTCCAGCTCATCGAGCTTACAAAGCTCAAGGTCACCCATCTGGTGGGAAGAAAAAAGAGGAATATTGAAGATTAGCCAGGGATTTGAAGTATTTATTATGCTCAGGGTTGGAAAAATGCATTCACTGCCAGCTCAGTCCAGCTATGTCCATGCTCCCTGCAGAGGCTGAGGGAGAATGGATCACAGCAGAGCACAGGGACTCCTAAGTACAGCAGCTCTCAGGTGAGGAACAGGGGAAAACAATCTGGATCCACAGATGGACACTGAGAGAATTCCCACAGCCCTGATTTAGGCCCTGATGCTGAGGCACTGCTGTGAAAAGCCAGGAAAATTTGCATTGTTTGATCAAAATATCCCACAAAACCCATCCAAAAGAGCATCAAAAAAAAGCAAGGAAGTTATAAAATCGTTTTCCCCTCATGTCACTGCCTTGACTAAAATTGGGTATTAGGAAAACAGAAATATTGTGTTGCCCAGGACAGTGGTAGAATCCCCATCCCTGGAGGGATTTAAATACCATGTGGATGTGGCACTTGGGAACATGGGTCAGTGGTGGCCTTGGCAGCGCTGGATTGGATGATCTTAGAAGGCTTTTCACCCTTAATGATTCTCTAAAAGGCTCTTTATTTGCATTTTTCCAAGCCCTGACTAAACAAATATTTATCACACAATTTTCACCATGAACAAGAATCCCACTTAGAATGAAGCCACATGATGATGTCCAACCCCAACTGTGAACTTCCTGACAGTTACATTTACCACCAAATATGCCTGAACCTCAACCAGCTCATTCACACAGGTGTTAGAAATGAAACCAGGCGAGCAAAGGAAGAAAATAAAGCAGGAGAAAGATAGCAATGAGTAAAAAAAAAAAAAAAAAAAACAACCACCAAAAAGACTGAGATTAGCACAAGAAGAGATTAAAAATAGAGAGAAAGATGTGTAAGAAAGACCATTAGTGAACAATTTTAGAGTTACATTCAGGGCAGGAAGTGCTTTAATTTGGAGATGCCAACTTGACTCCACATGCCAAGTTTACCAGGAGTTAGAGACAGCATCAAAACACAGATTTAGAGAAATTTTAGAGCGTGCAGAGAAAAGTTTCCAGCTTTAAGCTTTCAAAGCAACGTCACTACCAAATCCTAATGGTATAGAAGCCAAAAATGCCTACTGTGAGAAAGTCCTGCTCAAATTTGTACGCTCCACCTCCCGTGGCACATAAGGTAGTGTGGAGGCTCGAGAAGTGCTTTTCGCTTCCCATTTGGATAAAAGCAGGCATGTCATGGGTAGGAAAGCGTATAAAGTGCAGATTGCCTTTACGTCCACACAGGGTAAGGTCCTTGAGCTCAAGGTGCACATCCCGAATGCCTGTGGAGCCATAGGCTACGTTTGACGTCAGGTATTTGCGGATGCTTTTGAGGTTTTCCACTTCTTCCTCTTCCTCTTCGGCCGTGATGTCCTTGGGTTCAAAATAAACCAGTTTGACCAAGGTGCCTCCTATGTCCAAGCCAAACCAGGGGAAGACTGGAGAGAGAAGAGAGAGAGTAAATGAGACAGGGTATGGCACAGCCATAGCACGAGCACCTTTGGACTTGATGGTCTTTAAGGTCCCTTCCCACCCAAACCACCCTGTGATTCTATGAAAACAGTTTTCACTGAATTAATTAATGCAGTTCTCTGAGGACCCATGTGGTCTCTCCATTCTCAGGAATGCTGTCTTTGACAAGAGACTGCTCCAACGTGAGCACAGCTCCTGTTCAGAGATCCCTCATGTTCCAATATTTGCTGTACAACACTCAAACACTGACATCCCTCCCCACAGGTCTGACAGCTCCCCCAGCCCTGCCAGATCCTGCTGCAGGTTTAATCCCCAGCTATTCCTTTACCCAAGTTCTGAACCAGAGCCAGAGCCACGGGTAACACCAGTGCTTTTACATCAAAGGGATGTACAAACGTTCCCTAATTACAACACAGAGCCGAGGTAGACGAGTAATCGAAGATGCCGCAGGGAGACAAAAACAAATGTCTAATTGGATTATTTTATTAGTCAAATTCCCCCATGGTACAAAATATGCATCAGTGTCAGGCCCAGCAACATTTACAGCTGTGTTAGATAATGAGCTTCTTGGAAAAGATCAAGAGAAACCCCTGATCTGATGGAATCTGCGATTAGAGCTGGGAAGTGGAACAGATTAATATCGTTATTAATGAGCTAAATGAGAGGCTGGAGCTAACGAGATGCACAGGATCCAGAGCAAAGGGAAAAATGTAGCCACATGGAAGGGCTTATGGGAGCAGGATTCAATCCTTATTGTAGCTTCCACAAGGAAAAAAGGAACTTTTAGAAAATAAACCTGAATAATGGAATCATAAACATTGGAAAAGACCTCCACAATCCCAACCATTAACCCAGCACAGCCAAGGCCACCACTGATCATGTCCCCAAGTGCCACATCCACACGGCTGTTAAATCCCTCCAGGGATGGGGACTCCACCACTGTCCCAGGCAGTTGTGCCAATGCTTGACCACTCTTTTGGGGTGGAAACTTTCCCAAATATCCAATCTAGACCTCCCCTGGTCCATCCTGAGGCCGTTCCCTCTCCTCCTGTCCCTGTTCCCTGGAGCACAGCCCGACCCCCCTGGCTGTCCCCTCCTGTCAGGAGCTGTGCAGAGCCACAAGGTCCCCCCTGAGCCTCCTTTTCTCCAGGCTGAGCCCCTTTCCAGCTCCCTCAGCCACTCCTGGGGTTCCAGATCCTTTCCCAGCTCTGTTCCCTTCTCTGGACATGTTCCAGCATAGATGTTACCCAAGTTCCTTTGGAAAACAGGATCTTGGGTTTTAGCAAAATTCCTTATCTGCAAACAGATAAGGGTAGAACTTGGAGAAGCCCTCACTCCTCTCCCTTTGGAGCAAGAACGCTTCGTGCCAGGCTCTCCAGGGAACAATCTTTGCACAGGCAGCAGCCTGACAAGTTGGAGGACACATTCTCTCCTAGGCAGATTTATCTGGTGGCTGTACAGGCCCTTCCAAAGCTTTCTGGCTCCTGGCACCAGCAGCTCCCCACAGTATTTTTAATCCACCAAGTTATTTTTATGTATTTCCACAGAGGCCACCCCCAACCATCACCAAAGGAAATCTTGAAAGAAGATGCAAGCTCTATTTTCGGAGACGCATCCAAACCCCAATCACTCTCCATTTCAGAGGCATTTACTTCAAACAAGAACAGACACAAAAATAACTTTTCATGAATGAAAGGGAAAGAATCTGAATGGCAGCTCAACAGAGAGAGGGAGCAGGAGCAATCCAAGGACTTTTACACAGGCAGACAGTGGTAAGACAAAGGGGAAAGGTTTTAAACTACAAGGAGACATTCACACAGTAAGAAGAAATTGTTCCCTGTGAGGGTGGGCAAGCCCTGGCACAGCTGCCCAAAGAAGCTGTGGCTGCCCCTGGATCCCTGGAAGTGCCCAAGGCCAGGCTGGACAGGGCTTGGAGCCACCTGGGATAGTGGGACGTGTCCCTGTATCCAAGGCAGGGGGACTGGAAGCAGAAGGTCTGTAAGGTCCCATCCCACCCAAACCATTCCATGATTCTATGATTTCTGGGATGTATTTGTTCCTGTCAGAACATGCCATTTGATTTTTGCATTCTGAAATCCACTGGGTTTTTTTTCAAAGCATCCCCACCGCTGCATTTAGACAACAATCTTCCCTCCCATTCCCTCTGCCAGGCTACACAGGGGTAAAAATGGGGAGAGAGCAGAGGCTGGGAACTCGGAGATGGCCTCAGATGTGCAGCAGGAAAGACAAACATCCAAACCCACGGTGCTCTGAAGCCACATGCCTGAAAATGCCACAGGGGCTGCTCCATCACAGGCTAACAGGCTGCCACTTCCCAGCACTCAGCTGGCAGCACATGCACAGCTTCAGTAAAGAACATATTTGTTTTAAAGTTGTTAGTGAAGCTCACAAACTCCTACACTCAGCGACATAAACCTTCCAGATTTCAGGGAAACACCAACTGGGTCCATCAGTTTAGGCAGCTTACTTGGTCATAAAAAACAGAGAAGCTCCTTGGAAATTTCATCCCAAACCCAGTACCATCAAGATCTTTGGGTTTTTATTATACATAAATTTAGTTTTTATTTGGGCAGAACATTAGGCATGGAGTTAAACCACACAAGTTACCCACTATCTGTATCACCAGGAACAGGAAAACAGCAATGATGCCAGCAGAGCTGGGAGTAACTGCAGCCAGGCTGGGCTCAGGGGTCACTATCACCACTCAGCACTGGCCCTAAAAAGCAAATCCAACCCCCTGAGGTGGGACACAACTTCCGACCAGAGCTGGCTCACACCTCCCTGCAGCAGCAGCTGGAAAAGCTGCACACTGAGCAGCTGGTGTTCTCCATCTGCCAGCAGCTCAGCTGTACCTTCCCGAAGTCACCAGGGATAAATTCAAAAAGACAGACTATTAAGGTAATTATCTTACCCTAAATGATTGTTAATTATGGAGCCCTCATTATATACATCCCAGCCACAGGTTAAGAATCCAAGGAAGAATCATGTGAGCTCAAAATTAAGTACTTATTTCCCAGGCTGTGAAGGATTCCCTATGCAGTAACACCTGTTGGAGAACCCAATCCTTTCCAGGGACAAAACTTCCCTAGAAACCCTTTTTTTGTAGGAAAGGGGAATGGCACACAAACAAGAGGAGGAAACTATTCCAAGGACATGAAGAACTGGGCATTTTTTCCTGAGACTTACAGGAACACGCAGGGCAATGGCAGCTCTTCCATGTCTGAGAACTAGAAAAATCCAAGGGAGAGAGGAGGAAGCTCTCCTGGATCAACGCCATCACCATCTGCCACCAAGATTTCTCCTCAAACACTGATTTTTTTTTTTTTTTCCCCCAGCAGATGAAAGCCATCCAGAGATTTAAGCCCCTTTTAAGCCTCTGAAGCAATTTTTCCAAGAGAGCTGCTGCAGATCTCCAGGAGCAGCAGGAGAACTGCTGGCACCCAGGAGCCCTCTGGGCATCCCCGGGGCTGAATTTGCTCAGTCAGAAGGCTCTGCTGGAATAACCAGCCACCAGCAGGAGATGCAAACACTGCCTCTCATCACCTCTCCCCTGCTGCTCTCTGTGAGGGAAGAGCCTTGCAGGTCTCCTTTAACAACGGGAAGGATGGCAAATCCCGAGGCTGCACATCACAGCGTGGACCTCTGGGTTCTCTTCCTGCCCAGCACCTTCTGGGAAGGGTTTAGGTGTTCCTTGGGTGTTTGGCATTTCCAAGAAAGGCAGGAAATCCTCTGCTCTCAGCTCCAAACCTTCCACAATCTGTCTCTTGACAGAAACTCTGTTGTTTTTTAGAGGATGAGAGCCATGAAGCTCACTCTCAGTGAGCTGGGCAGAGAAGCTGTGGCTGCCTCATTCCTGGAAGTGTCCAAGGCCAGGCTGGAACAACTTGTACTAATGGAAGGTGTCCCTGCCCTTGGCAGGGGGTGGAATCAGATGGTCCTGAAGGTCCTTCCCAACCCAAACCACTGGCCTGACAAAGTTTTACTTTCCTTGAGCAATTTTAAAAGCAGCTCTCTCTATATATTTTCATATAAACAGCTCTTTGTCTCAAAAACAAACCTTCTTCTCAGGGGCAGATCCATGGATATGCAGCAACAAACAAAAGACTGGTCTGCCAACAAAGTTAAGGGCTCACAGTTCTGACTAAATAATTCCAGAAAAGCTCCAGGATACTTTGTGTGCCCACAGCAAGAGCTGCCACCCTCTCTTCAAATCCCTTTTGCAGTCAGACTGTAAGATCTTCAGGGCAATAAAAAGAAATTGCCTTCATGTGATATGTAAATTACTTCATAAAATTGGTCACTGTGTAAATAAAAAAGCCCTCAACAGATTCATTCTGGAAGCTGCAGAACTGTCAAGATGAAAGAGGTGATATAATTAAAGATCTCCATGGTGGATTTTCATCACAAAACAAGCAGCACGAGTTGTGTTTCAGAGTGATCCTTAACTTCTGAGCCAATTATATCAGGAGCTAAAAAGATTATGTGATGATTTAGCTCAGTGTGTGACAGCACCTCTAGGCTTTTTCTGAAATAGTCAATATTATGTTTTAATAGTGTTACACCACGCTGGAAATTTTACAGCTGAGAAAAAAATACAATTCATTAGCATTTAATATAAAGTGACACTAAGTCCACATCTCCTCCCATCCCTAAAAAGAGGCTCTGATAGGAATTCACATTTCATACACCATTCCAAAACAGATAAGGATATTTAAACATCAAAGCTTAAATTTTGTACTACTAAAGAGGTGACAAAACAGCATTTTATTTTTACCTTTTCTTGGATGCTTTGTAAATTCAAAATTTGAAGTCATATGTCCATTATGTATTTGCATGATCCTGACAGAAGATACTAAAACTTCCAAAAAA